ATATATATATTATTGAGTGTAACACATTATGTGTAAATCCATTATAACTATTGTGGTTATGCCATAGGTAAACTCACTATGGTACTCGTATCCCACAGATTAAACCTAAGTGCCATTATTGTTTATCACATTGTAGTAGCCACATATATTAGGGACACATCCAATTATTTTCCACTCTTATCGCATATTATCCCATCTATTCTTGGGTTTACGACATCATGTGTAAATCAAATTTGAAACAAAGCTCTACAGTTTTGGTCCTTTACCAGTTGTAAATGGTTATAAAATGTTATAAATGGGCTTATTATTCCACAAATTGCCATGCCATAAATGTGGGGTTATAACTGACTTACAAGTGGTAAAGAGGCATCACTCTAGTGATGACATATGATTCTCCGACACGGCCTTGGAGACACCTCCAGAACATTGGATACTCACCATGATTCAGCCCATTAAACAGCAATGTTCATGGGACACATATGGAAACATCATTATTAAACATCAAATTTCATACAATTCTATATAGCCCTTAACAGTTGTAAATGGGATTATAACTCCTATAGCCAACGTTATTTATAGTAATAATAACAATAATCATAATAGTAACAATAAAAATGATAATAATAAGAATGATAATAACAAAAATGATGATGATGCTAATAATATGTATGTATGTATATATATATATATCATGAAATAAACCCATGTACTTCCATGGTCTTAAGTTGTACATGTATATATATATATATTTGGATGGGTATATACATATATTAACATACGTGCTTGCAACCTTTTCTGTTCACTTGAACTTCTTGTGAAAAGCCTTACTTTGCCACCCGCCTAGCTCGTTTTTGTCAGAGAGCGGCACACGGCCAGCGCGCCAAGTTCGGCAGAAATGAATTTGCCATTCATGAGTCAAGTTTATGCTGATAATGTTGTAAACCCAATACAATAGTGAGATTTAGTAGGATATTAAAAGTAGACTGTGGATAGATAATTATCGGATAGTAGTGAGACAATAATGGATAATTAAGAAATAGCTATATTAAACCATCCCCAAATTTGAGGTTTTTTAAATTGCATATACCTCCAATTCATTAAATGGATGGTTCATGGGATGGTTTCATGGATTGGGTATCCACATTACTGGTGCTTGAGTAGATAATGTAGCTTTTAAGGTATGGTGGTATATTAAAGATGTTTTTTCGATAGTCTTTTACTGTAGGTCTTCAACCCGAATTGGGTGCAGTTTGTATTCGGGTCTGCATAGCTATAGGTGTACAACTGCGTACTGTTTATGACTGGGTACCATTCGATAATGAACCCCGATTGCATATGGTTTGGAATCCTGTAAGCATAATCAATGTTCATTTCAGGAACCTAAATTGGAGGTACCTACCATATATAAAGCCTATGTAAGGCCTATGTAAGGCAATATCCTTAGAAAATATGGTCTTATATGGTACAGTACCTCCATTTTAGGATCCTGAAATTTCCATTGACATAACCCCAATTAGCCTTGGTGTTAAGTCGGTGTCTAATCCGGCCACTCGGAATTAGTTTGGTAAGCTAGGTATGGCTTGCAACAACCTGCACATGGTTTATGTTGTTTTGGTAAATTAACATAGCTATGGGAAATCACCATTTTTAATAGGTAAAGGAACTATTTCTATGGCCATTTCCAATAGCTACCAGTGTTTTTGTTTTTGTTTTTTGAGTTGTTCTACCTGTTGGGTGGGAGTTGTTTGTGTTTTTCTTTTTGGTGTCCATCCCGACATGATGAAAAAGAAGGGCGTTGGATTCAGCAAACTTTTACACATATAATAATAATTATCATTATATTATGTATCATAGATATATATCTTATATATCTTATATATTATATGTTTTATTTATGTTTTATGTATTATATTTATTTATATTATAGTTATGTATGTTATACATTTATATATGTATGTTGGATGCTATCATCCAGCCAATGAGCGAAATGGCTTGAAACTGCTAGATTCCAAGATATTAAAAGCATCAACTTCCTTTTAAGAATCACTGGACATAGGCTTTGGTGACTGCCTAGAGGATGATTCCGTCAATCACTCATGGTGTTCAGGGTAGAGCAATCCCCAACAATAAAGCAAAAACATATACTAAGATAGTGGCGCATTACCCTTCGATCTGTTTGTAGAGATTGTTTTAAGCGCTGCGGCGCTGTGTTGCCTGCTCTGGCTCCAGAGACGCTGCCTCCCCATCGGACATCGCACATTCCTGAGAGACAGCGCGTTCGACGAGTGGACATTTGCGTCCCGTCGTGGTGCAGTGTGTGTCGTTTTGGGATCTCACTTATTCATACTTCTTCGGACCAGAAGAAAATCATTGCAAATTTTGAGCAACCATCCGATTTCTCTGGGAGGTCTCTGGGAATCTCTGGTGATCCCTGGGGATCTCTGCAAATCTCTGAGAATCACCTTAGGAAGAAAAAGGAGAAACGAAAAGAATACTTACCTTTGCCATCACATATCAAAGAAGGAACAAGAAAGTCATCAAGGAAGTATTCTGACCGAAGTGGTTTGCAATGTGTTTAAGGTTCTACATGTTAATCCTTTCATGACATTAAGGAACATTATCTAATTAAAGGTCTACCAGTAGTACCGCACAAGGCGGTGGCGGAAGTTTCAAAAATAGGAAACCTATAGGAGCGGTTGGCTGTTGTGAATCACGGATGGCAGAGCGAAGCCACTGATTGACCGAAAGGTGCTTGAGGTCTCCTCTCGTTCTCTCTCTTTCTCTCTCTTTCTCTCTCTTTCTCTGACTATCTACCTACCTACCTACCTACCTACCTATCTATCTATCTATCTATCTATCTATCTATCTATCTGTCTCTCTCTCTCTCTCTCTTTCTCTCTCTGTCTATCTATCTATCTGCAAGCTTGAAAACGAAGCTACTCTGCGAGACTTCCTCAGTTTTTGAACTTGACAACATCAAAAACGCAGCAATTCAGCGAGACTCTTCATTTTTTGCACTGGACAACATCCAAAACGAATCAATTCTGTGAGACTTCTTCAATTTTTGAACTTGACAACATCAAAAACAAAGCAATTCTGCAAGACTTCCTTCAAAAATGGAAAGTTGAGTGCAGAGCTGACAGCCTTGTACCAATGCGTTTTGCGATTTTTCCAGTCCACCTGTCGAAAGTACTGCGCCTGCCACGAGAAAGTGATGCCAGGTCATATGAAGTGCTGCACCTGTCACGCTGATTCTCCAAAATGCAACCACTCTCAGGAAATCAGCGCCCTCACCTCCTAACAGCTCCGATGAAGATGTCTCTTGTACTGCGCCTGCCACGGAACATGCATCTTTGCAGATCCTCTTCAAATGTCCCACGCCTGCCATCGTGTTTGGAAATTCTACAAAACCCTCACGCTTTGCTCACTTTTGACAAGGTGCACAATCCCTTGCGCCTGCCACTTAAAACGACATCTGAACCTCCAAAAGTGGCGCGTACATGTCGTGCTTTGTACATTTTGACTTCGAAATGTGCTTTGCGCCACAATGGCGTGCACTTTTTCGACATCTCAACTTCCAAAAGTGGCGCGTACATGTTGTGCTTTGTACATTTTGACTTCGAAATGTGCTTCGCGCCACAACGGCATGCACTTTTTCGACATCGCAACTTGTAAAAGTGCTCCGAAGCTGAGGTGTTTTGTTTTGTACATTTTGACTTCGAAATGTGCTTCACGCCACAACAGCGTGCAATTTTTCATCTCTCATCTGGCCAGATGGCTCCGCACCCGCCGCTTTAGCGAGCCTACTTTTCGACCCTCCGGAGCCACAAATCATTGGAAAAACACGGTGTTTCGCGACTTTCCTACCTTTTCCCGCATCTGCATCTTCTTTCTTCTGACTCTTTCTCTTCTCTTATCTTCTCTCTTCTACTCTTCTCTTCTCTCTGACTCTTCCCATCTCTGCTTTTCATCTGTCCATATTGTCGGATGTTTGACTTCTAAACTTCCTTCGGTTAGCATAGAGGATCAAACATGATATAGTAGACACCTTGCAGTCCCAGAAACATGGAAGTTGGGGGAACTGACAGCATTCCTTTCTGCCGATTTGAGAGTGCCGTACCCATTTTTATCTCATCAGCTCCTTACAACCAGGGCGTATCTTATCCCATTGTGATCCCAAGATCCAAAAAATATTCGTTGAAATCCTATGAACATCAACACCCAATGTTGTGCGTACTGGTAGTCACACTTACATTTGTATATATAATTGTTCAATATTATTCATATATCTATATATATATATATATACATTTAGATACACATATAAATATCAATATGTACATATACATATATATATGTGTACATATATATATATACACATGTAAATATGTATATATATATATATATGTGTATATATGTACATATATATATATACACATGTAGATATGTATATATATATATATGTACATAGATACTTAAAAATATAAATATATACATATACATATATATATATATATATTCATATGCATATATATATATTCATAAATATGCATGTATATACATACATACATACATACATACATACATACATACATACATACATACATACATACATACATACATACATACATACATACATACATACATACATACATACACACACATACATACATACATGCATACATCCATACATACATACATGCATACACACACACATACACACATACACACATACACACATACATACATACATACATACATACATACATACATACATACATACATACATACATACATACATACATACATACATACATACATACATACATACACACATACATATATAATATTTATATGCAAATATATAATAGTTATATATATATATACATATCTTACAATATAGGATTTAACACATAAGTGTACACATCTACAGTTCTTTCATTCTCACGCAGTCTCTGCTACATCCATACCTTTTCTGATCTATCATCCCACGTCGCACCATGCCACGACACAGTTCGCACTTCCCAGCGATGCCAATTCGTGCCGGGGATCCGGATGGGAGTCGTGGGAGGCGTCATAAATCAGCTATGAAAGGGATTTTTATTAGCAAAGAAATGTGAGCAATGTTCAAACATGTGATGTTCAACTTCTGCCTGGTGAACTTTGATTATGGAAATTGTACTCATCTTCTACGAATGTATTTTGTTTGATTGGGTTCAATATATATATATATAATGTATTAATATCAAGAAATGAAAACATGCCACCAATTGTTTACGAGGTTTAATACCAACAAAGGATGATATCACCAGCAAAAAGTCATCAAAACTCCCCAACATTTTTCTTTTTTTCTTTATTTCCGTATTGCCGATGTTCACCAAGGCCATGTCCAAACATTCCACAGACATGTGGTGTCTGAACATGGTGTATACCGCGTATACCTATCAAATGGCAAAAATAAATGGGAATGATTCCATCATATTTCATTGGAAACGGAGGTCGCCTATTTTCGGACAACTCCATGGTGGTGCCTGATTTTAAATGAGATTCTTAAAATCCCATGGCTTATGATCAAGTTCCACATGTTCACCTTGTTATTTTGGGTCTCATCCCCCATTTCACAGCAACAGCGAACAGCCCGCCCGGATGCAGCCCCACGACTCTGTGAACGCAAAACCGGTGAACCCCACAGCCGAAGCGAAAAAAAAGAGAGCGGCAGAATGGAAGGGTTTATGTGTTGCCATGTACGGCAGGTAAGGCCTGCAAACAATAGGGAAGTAAATTGATCAATTCGCTTAGCTACTGGCCTTTAAGAGTTAGAAATTAGATCAAATTGGTTTATTTCATGATATATTTCACCTTAGTTGTAGGAATCATGAACAATTTCCGTTGATAACTCTTAGTTGGGCCATGTATAGTTTATGACCTTGACCTAATGGTAGATATTAATGATGATATGGGTTTTATCTAATATGGTATATCTAATAGTGGATGTTTATATGAGTTATATCATACCATAGTGGATGATATTTCCATGATCTCTTCACGAATGGCTTTTATCCACTACCTGGACACCAGCTTATAGGATCTCTTCACCGAAATTGCGTTTTCTGGATGGCCAGGAGGCCATTGAGAAATCGCGATCGCGGAAAATACATCACGGTAAATCCAGGATTTTTGACCAGATCTCTGACCAGATCGGATTTGTCTGATCACAGGCAGGCCTCGAAATGAAGGGCTTAAGGTATCCGAAAGCGATCCAAATTTGATGAAGCTCCTCAATTATAAACCAATGTGTTCAATATCTCCCAATGTTCATCGATGACTAACTTAATTACCCAAAATCGGGTTAGATCCAAATGGATGGGAAGACTCGATTTGCCCAACTGATTCATTACGAGATCTCAGGCGAGATCTTAGAAAAGCTCCAGCCGGCCTGTGGTGCGATAACTTATAGCTACCTCGAACGACTACTACTATCATAGATGCGAGATTGGTATGGGGAGATACCAAGAAGATATCCTCATTTTTGCGATCATTTCAGGACTTTCTCCTATTGATTCTTCAATTATACATGTTTCGGTGATTTTATTCCACATATTCTACCTGTTTGGCAAAAGGTTTTGTCAATTCAGCTGGTGTTTATTAGTTTCAGTTGTTTAAAACTGCCCTATGTTGTTGATGGGGGCCAAATCTAGCACTTTTGTCCCTCAATGTTATCCCATGCACCAGGGACCGCTGACTCTTACCATATACCAGGTGGGATGATACACAACAAGGTTCGCTGTTTACCATCACTGTGCTCGACAAGTCATTGCTTGTTTGATAGCCACTTTGATCTCTCATGCGCCCAGTTCTTTCGGCTAACATCCCAGTTGTGTTTCCAAGATCCCACTCTTTCTTGAATGACCCCGGCATAATTCCAGCGATTTGAACCCTTTTTCGTTGTCATGACAGCTTAAGGTTTCATTCTTAAAATCCATGTTTTTAGTGAAACATCAAACATCACCCAATTTACTATTACATTTATATATATATATATATATATACAATTTGCCATTCTGTATATATATATATACATATATATATATGTTTATGTTTATGATATAGATAACTGTGTATATATATATATAATATATATATATATCCGCATTTTTTTACCACATCCCTTTTTGATATCCTTTGACTCTGGTCGTTCCCGCAGCTGTCGGAGTTCCCGGTTCCCAGTTCAACGCCGTGTGTCGGCGGCATGGGATGGAGACGCAGCCAATGGGAGGCGTGGCCAACCACGGTGGGTGGAGAAATCCTGCACCTTGGATGAAACATGTTGAAAGCCTATAGAAAGTGGGGCCCCCAAGATAGCTAAGTTGGTTTATAACTACAATAACTAGGGTTTATGGTAGTTATAGCTATAGTTATAACGAACTAGTTAGATTGGGTTATAAACCAACTTATAACTAGGGGGCCCCACTTTGTAGATAATGGGAAAAGGAAAAGCTAATGTCAACTGGTGCAGGATTTCGCAGCCATCCACAATAGTGGTAAGTGAATACTTGTTTAAATGGGGATAGCCTATGTTTTTATTTTATTTGAAATAGCTACTATGGCAAAAAAAAGGGTAAGCCCACATAAAAGTAGAAAGATCCTATGGTAAATTAATGTAGAGTATACTTTTCCACCTTTTTGGGGAATACTACAAGATAGGGAAATGATGACTAAAACAATTGAGGTAGGAAACGCATGTTTTTCCACAAAGCCAGGTGGTGTTATTTTTGGGAGCTGCTGTAGGGCACGCCCGTCCTGAAGGAATCAAGTTGAGTGTGTTTGATTTATTTGTTGATTATATTATATTATATTATGGGCAATAGGATTATATAAATTGATGCATTGAGGCCCAAACTGATTTATTGATCCTATGTGTGTGTGTTAATAGGATTTTATATATATATACATATATATATATATATATACAGTCTTTTGGATGATTAGCTCGCTGATTTAGGGATGAGTTTGCTTTTTCACACAGACCTAGCGCCTTCGAATTGTAGAAAGTGGCCACGTTGAGTTTGGCTCTCGATTCGTCAGACCCCAGAGTCCTTGGATGTCTATTGGATATTATTGGATCTGTTCAGATTGGATCTGTGCATTTTGGCTTTTCTTGTAGATATTATGTACGGATTGGTTTTTCTGGGAAAATTTAATTTGCCCTAAATTTTGAGTGGGAAAATAACTCTATGGTTTCTTGAGTTTCCTGTAGATTTTCCAACCAATCCATTGATACTACTGATGGTTTGTTAATCTACAGGAATAATCCATTGATATTACTCAGTAAATATTAAGCCAATCCATTTGATTCATTCTGGTTCGTTCAATTTGCCCCTTTCGTTGACAAAATCAGCATGTTTAGTGGAATCGATGACGAAAAATCTTTAATGGAATCCCCTGTCCTAGGGGGCTGACATCGCAGCGCGAATTTGGTGGGGTGTGCTGAAATCTGCGCCCAAACTACTGTACCTTGACAATCTTCACTGGTTGGTGGTTTGGAACCATGGAATTTTATGACTTTCCATTCGCTTGGGAATGTCATCATCCCAACTGACGAATTCCATCATTTTTCAGAGGGGTAGGTATAACTACCAGCTATTTTGATGTGAACAGAGCTCCATCTTTCAGAGGCGACGCGAGAACGCGAAGAAGTTGCAGGTGTGACTGCTGTTATGACGCAGACGCTGGGAGGGCTCTGGTTCAATCACCATTTTCTTTAGATGTCGATAATTACATCCCAGTGCTTCACCATGTTAATGGTGAAATTCCAGGATATTCAAAATGTTCATGGTTCAAATCACCATTAACTCCTTGTTTTCATCGTTAAAATCACCATAAATCACCCATAGCTCCCTATGTTTCATGGTTCAAATCACCATTAACTCCCTGTTTTTCATGGTTCAAATCACCATTCACTCCCTATGTTTCATGGTTCAAATCACCATTAACTCCCTTTGTTTCATGGTTCAAATCACCATTAACTCCCTTTGTTTCATGGTTCAAATCACCATTAACTCCCTGTTTTTCATGGTTAAAATCACTATTTTTCATGGCGAAATCCCAACCCCCCTGGCGTAGCTTCCCCTTAGTGTTTCCGTCCAGGCTCCGCCCCAGCCTGGCGGAGCAGATCCGTCGTGCCACGTGGGTGGCCGAGTCGGAGGACCCCCCTGGGTTTGTTGGGTGATGGAAAAATGGGGAAATCTATGGATTGTAACAATCAACATTTGGGATTCATCATGATTTATCAAGAATTGGATAGACTTGGACCTGCTATAACTGGTTTGGTGGTTTCAATAATGACTTTTATGACTTACGATAGATTGGGAATGGAAAAATCATCCCAACTGACGAACTCAAATGTTTCAAGATGGTTGTTTAATCACCAAGCAGATGGGAAAATTATGTTTTTTTTTGGTGGGTTTTCAGGGATAAATGGTGATTTTTGTTGCGTGGTTGTAGAAATTGGATGAAATCATTGGAAAATAGTTTTTTTTTGTGGTAAAACATGTGATTGGAATCATCGGAAAAGAGTTATTTTTTGTGGAAAAAAATGTGATTGGATTTTGTGGTAAACTTGGCTTTTTTTTGTCAAAAATATGGAAATTAGATGCTAAAGGTGCGGGCTTTGCCATCCAGCCTTCCTGAGTGCTGGAGATCTGCCACCGATCAGGTGGTGTCTTGGTTCCTGGCTGTTGAAGCGGCCACATGGTTGCATGTCATAGCATGTCTGGCAAATCGGGGTTGCAAGGGTTTTCAACATCACTTTGGATGGCGATAGAAAATGTATTGTATATAATAGTATTTAATATATAATATATAATATATAATATATAATATACAATATATAATATATTATATATTATAATATATAATATATATAATATATAATATATATAATATATAATATATATAATATATAATATATATAATATATAATATATATATAATATATAATATATATAATATATAATATATATATATGATATAACTCCTCAAAGGTGACACTTTGACTTTTTACAGTGGATCGACAATGAGCAGTTTCCACGACCTGTTGCGGATTGGTGTTCTACTGCTTGAGAGGAATTTCCCTGAACCGATCTTGTCATTAATCTGGTCAAATGAATCCCTATCCACCTGGCCGGAGTTCCGGCCACTCATGAGTAAGCAGCCAAAAACACGGGAATGTGGATGGATATGGGATGGATATGGCTTTGTGGCAAAAGAGGGAAACAAAACATCACCAGAATCTAATCATGCGGCGCTTGTATGGTTTTCAAGGTTTCAGACAACTCCATGTGGTGTGCGATGTACATCGTTGGATATTCCGCCACACAAAAACATGCTTTTCCATGGAATTTACATCAATAACCCATTTTGCCAATTGTTTTCCCCCTCAAACAAAAAAGTATGAGTTGCCCCCCGGTAATTTGACATAGCTATGGACAATGGCCGTGGAGGCGTTGTGATTTTTGCTCTCATGATACATGGGTTGGGGTGGCTTAGGGTGGGCTAATAACATTCATTTTGCACGGGCACACATACGTCATACTACTGCTATATAGTATGTTCTCTCGCAGGTGCACACATACATCATGCTGAAAGAGTTGAAGTCAGGCCCTATTGTTTACACGAATGTCAAAGTTGGAAGACGGTAGCCAGGGCAGACCGCAAACGGCAAGACTAAAATTGCTGGTGCACAGCAAATTGGTCGCTGTTGGAACCACTTCCAAAGAATTTGTCCTGACATTTAGATCAAAAAAAAACGCACCGGCAATTTAAATCTGACCCTGAATGTGGGATCTTCAGACTGAATTTGATCAATTTGGTAAGTGACGTTTCTGGCATGAGATGAACCGTCGCTCAAAAAAACCGTCGGCTGCAGGAGCTGAGCACACAAAGGCGACAGCTGCAAGAGGAGCACCGGGATGATGAGATTATTAAGACTTTTACATCAAGTTAGTCATAATCAGTAGTGATTGTTGTAAAATTGACACACAAGTTTTACATCATGATTGTTTTTTTGGACTTTTACATCAAGTTAGTCATAATAATCAGTTAAACTGGTGTTTTAAAAGGCAGAATATTCCCAGGTATCATGATCAATATGATCATCCCAGTATACAGTGTATAGGCATGTATATAGGTCCGACATACCCTACCCACTAATGACAATAGTGGCAGTGGTATTCATATCTATCAAGATCTATCAACATTTGCATATTTATGACCGGGTACATTTGCTACCTATAGTTTGAGATATCCATTCCCTTATTTTTTGATGAACTTCCCATATTCATCGCCACTTTCATTCCCCCACAATTCCTCACAATTATATAACCCCTATATTCATCCCCATCCCTAGTGCTCCAAATATCCTCTGAGAAGGTGTTTAGACCCCCAAAAAAACTCCAAATACACTCTCAGAAGGTGTTTGGAACTGTACCGCATATTTTTTCCGGAAAAACAAAAGCACCATTAACCCATGATTAACCATCATTAACCCATGATTATCCATCACTAACCATCATTACCCCATGATTAACCAATACCATTGTTTGGAAAAACAACACCACACTTTCTGCCCCGTTGAGGACTTAAGCTTGGTGAAAGATCTCATGGCACAGCAGCAGCAGCAGCAGGTAGGGGATCCCGGACACCGAACCCGGCGATTTAAGCATGAAAATCGCTGATCCAACCAGTCAAAATATATCAAAATTGTGATTTACCCATAAAATGGTGATTTTCCATAGTTATGTTAGTTTACCAGGTGGTATATCAAAATGGTGACAAAAAACCAGCCAGAAATGGTTTGGTGTAGCAGAAATTTGTAAGAAACTTTGGGTCACACTGGGAATTCACCATTTTTAACATGTCCAAGCAGTAGGATTTAACAAAAGAAAAATGTCACCAAACTCATAAACAACCATCACTTACGGCTGGGACCCAAATGTGGAGACTTTGTTGGGTCTAGCCTAACCACCACCCACCTGACCTGGCTCCACCAAAAAACTCGCCAATCAATACGGTTTCTATCCCAACTCGACCCCTTCCGAGATCATAATTTTTGGAGATACAAACTTTATTGGTTGGTGGTTTGGAACATGAATTTTATTTTCCATAATATATGGGATAACCCTCCCCATTGACGAACTCATATGTTTCAAGATGGTTAAAACCACCAACCAGTTTAGATCGTTACGCCTCGGAAACATATCGCCTGCCACCTGCGCCGGCGTGTGAAAAGATGCAATGGGGTACCCTAAAACATTACTGGAATGAAATTGTCATTGGCACCGGCCATGATTCTTGGGCCAGCCCAGATACGATAATTGTTGTTTGCTTCATTACATATATATATACATATATATATATACCGTAGTATACATATACATATTATAATATATATATATATAGTATAGATACGCGTATACATATATATATATATACATACATATGTGATAGACCACCATGATTTTTGCTTTTCTACGTCCATTTTTTAGGGCAAATTTCCCCTTGTCGACCGCATCAGGTGCAAAGCCTAGAGGATCTATGGCAACTGCAGGTCTCCATGGAGCGTAGCCTGGCAAAATCCTCTTTGGATATTTTGGATCATTGGATTGGTTGGAATATTTGTTGAAGATGTAAAAGATATGTATAGAATTTCCCCTATTGTGGATGTGGTTGTTGGGATTAACAATATATATATATATATATATATATATATAATAGATATACTCTGGTATGCTCAGGAAAAGTCACATTCGAAGCATAGATATCATTCGGTTGGTGGTTTTTGCAAGGTTAATTTTGCCTCCCACGATGGCATGAAGATTGTTGATGACTATTTTTGCGGGTGAAATCAACACTTATTTCGTAAGACAATCCGTAAGAAAATCCGTGGTGCGTTTGCTGTAAATTCGTTGCTGAGAATTGAAGTTCATCCTACAAAGTGGGGCCCCCAAGATAGCTAAGGTTGGTTTATAACTACAACAACTAGGGTTTATGGTAGTTATAACTACAGTTAGATTGGGTTATAAACCAACTTATAACTAGGGGGGCCCCACATTGAAGGTAATTTGGAAGTTCACACTTGGGCCCCATTCATTAGTGCCATATCATCTCAACACCTCCTTTTTGTTTACTGAAAATACCTTCATGGTTCTCATGGCTGATGATCAACCCCTATGATCATAATCCATCATAATCCTTCACAATTGATGATCAACCCCTAATATATATATGTAAATATATATATATTGAAATATGAAACACCAATGTTTGCTGCTCAAAACCCTCTTTCTGTAGGTCACTGTGGGCATTTGCAGGTCAACTCCAGTGATTTTTTGCTGAAACCTCATTTCTGGTGGGTGAAGGCCGGTGTTTCACAGTTTAATTAATTTGTTGTGGTCCTTTCAAATTTATTTTGATATGTTAAGTGTTAAGTTCCATATTTTGAGAGGCTAAGCCCAATTTTTTGTAGGATTTTGTAGGTCAGCCAGCACCCTCAAAATGTTGGAAACCACGGGCAAGGTACCACGCTGAAGGCAGATGCTGCTGAACAGGACCGACACAGCCCGAGAGCGTGGGCTGTCCGATGGGAATTGGTTAGGAACATCAAGAATTGGGTATCTAACCAACAGAAATGATGTGTTTTCATGAGTTTTAACCAACAGAAATGATGTGTTTTCATGGGATTGAACCAACAAAAATGATGGCAAAAAGAAGGTAATTCTTTGGCATTTGAATTCATAACGGAATTTACTGGATATATTGTGGTTTATTAAAAAACAAGAAGTTTGTGGTTGGTTTTTGGAGACATAATTTTCCATACATAGCCGACATAGCCGCACTTAGAAATCCAATGATTGGCTAGTTACTTAGTAATTACCCATAATGTCCTTAAATCTAATAATATAGCATAATTTTACTATTGGCTGAAGTTTGCTATATTGTTATTACAGAACATTAGTTAGTTCACCATTCACCCATGTCTACACGGGATAGCCCACCAGTTACGACCGTGCGATCGGCCGAAGCCGAGCGGGAGCTCGCTGCGCCTGGGAGAAAAATGTGTTATAAAAGGTTATAAAATGGATGGTAACATAATCTTAAAAAGGAGGTTACATTGAAAGATATCCTCATATATCCTCTGTTTCTTGCTTCAAAAACCAGATTTGTCATCATTTTTCTGGATTAAACGCCGTGTTTCTTGCTTAAACCCACATCTTTGGTGCTTAAACCCAGGCATTTTTCCATCAGAGTCTCGGCGAGGAGCAGCAGAGGGTGGCACAAGCGCTGCGCGGCGAGATGACGCTGTGCCGCGAAGGTGTGGGGCCCCTATGGCCTCAAGGGCCCCCGTTGACGATAATTGTCTGATAGGCCCTAGTGCTCCAAATACCTCTGGTAAAATACAAGAAACTATGGAAAATCACTATTTTAACGGGTATATGGCTATTTCAATAGCTATGTTAAATTACCAGAGGGTACCCTCTGAGAGGGTGTAAGCAGACCCCGAAAAAACAACTCCAAATGCACTCTCAGAAGGTGTTTGGAGCTGTAGGGAGGGATACGTAGCTAACAATAAGATGTTTAATAAGCCCACAATGTGGGAATATGGTGAGTCAATGGAGATTGATTCATGAACAATGGTGATATGATGGGAAATATAACAGGAGCTACATATATATATATTACAATTAATTAAGGAGGGCCATTTATTTAGGGATTTTTTTTTTTTTTGTTTAGGGATTTTTTTTTGGATTTCTTCCTGCTTACTCACTCTATTGCCTCCTGCAGTGCTTCTCTGCTTCTTTGCTTCTATTCCTTTTTTTGCTTTTCTTGCTTTTCTTTGCTTTTTTGCTTTTTTGCTTCCCTTGCTTTTCTTTGCTTTTTTTGCTTTTTTGCTTTTCTCGCTTTTCTGCTTTTCTTTGCTTTTTTGCTTTTATTGCGTTTCTTTGCTTTTTTGCTTTTTTGCTTTCCTTGCTTTTCTTTGCTTTTTTGCTTTTCTCGCTTTTCTGCTTTTCTTTGCTTTTTTGCTTTTCTTGCTTTTCTTTGCTTTTTTGCTTTTCCATGAGGTGTGGAGCAACATCTTCTCTTGGTTCGAAGCAGATGGGCACGCTGCAACACAAACACAACCGCCAGCAACAACACCACCACCACCACCACCACCAACAACAACAACAACACTAACACAACACTAACAACACTAACAACACTAACAACACTAACAACACTAACAACACTAACACTAGCAACACTAACAACACTAACGGTAACAACAACAACACTAACAACAGCAACAACAACAACAACACCACTAAACAACAACAACAACAACAATAACAACACTATCAACACAAACACAACCGCCAGCAACAACACCACCACCACCAACAACAACACCACCACCACCAACAACAACAACAACACTAACACAACACTAACAACACTAACAACACTAACAACACTAACAACACTAACAACACTAACAATACTAACAACACTAACACTAGCAACACTAACAACACTAACGGTAACAACAACAACAACAACAACAACAACAACACTAACAACAGCAACAACAACAACACCACTAAACAACAACAACAACAACACCAACAACACCACCACCACCACCAACAACAACAACAACAACCACAACCACAACCACAGCCACAACCACAACGACAACGACAACGACAACGACAACGACAACAACAACGACAACAACAACGACAACAACAATAACAACACTATCAACACAAACACAACCGCCAGCAACAACACCAACACCAACACCACCACCACCAACAACACCACCACCACCACCACCAACAACAACAACAACACCAACACCACCACCACCACCACCACCACCACGACCACCACCACCAACAACAACAACAACACAACACTAACAACACTAACAACACTAACAACACTAACAACACTAACAACACTAACATTAACACTAACAACAGCAACAACACGACCACCACCACCACCAACAACAACAACACCACCAACAACAACAACACCAACACCAACAACAGTAACAGTAACAACAAACAACTGTTGGAATGTCAGCCTTCAGCTCCAAAATCCTGCAAGTACTGTGAGGAATGTAGCTGTAAAATGTTGCACATACGGTGGAAATGCAGATTCCAGCTCAAAAATGCTGCAAAGAGCATGGAAAATGGACAGAACATGCTCATACTGTTGCAAATACCGTGGAAAATACAATGGAAAATGAGAGGTTCGAACTCAAAACCGTTGCACATACCGTGGAAATGGCAGTTTCCAGCTCCAAAATGCTGCAAATAGCATGGAAAATGGTGAGAACCGGAAATCCAAAAAAAAATCCCCAAAGTTTAAAAAAAAAAAACCAAACAATTTCCTACCCATTAATTAATCATAATATAATCAGGATATCATGGTGATAGTGGATATATACTGTGATTGAAATAATAAAGTTCAACCCACAAAATCGCACTCTATAAATGATCTAACCCAGGAAAATTTGGATTTTCCCACAAACAAGTGGGATTTAGCCAATGAATTGGCTACGGTTCGAAAATGGGATAGCACGGTCAAATAGGATGCCAAGGATGATACAACGGCTGGTGAGAGGTAGGTTGAATATTGTGATTTCAGCACAATGTTCAAGGACAAATTAAATAATTAACTTCATTTAATAGTTTTCTTGTATATGTACTGAACATTACTGAACTATTTTGCGGAGATTTTAAGATTGACTGTGGATCTCATTGGGGAATTTCCGTTGCACGGAGATGGCTTCCATCACGGAGATGGAGCTTACGAATTGGACAGTCCTCCAAAGTTTTGGGATCATGCAATTTTCCGTTTGGTCCCCTGTTCAACCTCGACTTGAGTACCAAAACCTGCACCCTCTGGTGGTGTTTTTGTTGGTTACCAAACAAGAATTTCCATGGTTCATTGCCAAACAAAAGGTCCATGGTATCTCTTTTCTGATACTGTCCGAACAGATCCACCAGATTTACCATCAACTCCCCCCCAAAAAAACAGTGTTTCTCCGTCCATTTAGAGCCCTGGAGTTAGTTAACTAGTGAATGATTGAGCAAATTGACGATCATTGGTTTGTTTGTGGTTTTTAAATGTTTATAAGCCAGGTATAAATTGACGATCATGTTTTTTAATTTAAAAGTGTTTTTGTTAGCCAGTTCCAAAAGCACTTCTCAGCCTTTCCCATAGCCAGCCTTTCCCAGCCTTTTTAACCCTCGGACGCCGAGGTCAACAGGACCTGGCTCGGCAGCTGTTGGCCAAGATGGCTGAGCTGAACCAGAAGTTGGGTGCCAACATGGCGCAGCTCGAGGAGCTTCCAATGAGCGGCAGCTGGGTAGCCATGGTAGGTTCACCATGGCAGCCCAAAATATCCCAAAAAATATCACAAAACATATCCCAACATTGGGATGTAATGAATGGTTGGTGGTTTGGAACATGAATTTGATGACTTTCATTCAGTTGGGAATGGAAAAATCATCCCAACTGACGAAGTCCATCATTTTTCAGAGGGGTGGCTCAACCACCAACCAGCAATGAATGGTGAAATTGAGATGTCATGGTGAAAAACTTTGAGTGTTCAAGGTTTAAGCCTCCCCCATTCGGCAGATCCAGGATGAAGTCACACGACGTGAACACGAGGCAGGGAATTTTTAAGATGTCCGCAGAACCCCCCCGGTAATACAGGAAAACTATGGAAAAATATGGGGATTTCACTTAACCAAAAACATAATAGTTGATTTATCATAGCTATGTTGTTGTTTTTACTTGGACGGCACGGATTTGTATGATTTATGGGTAGAACATTGGGTTATAAACCAGTTTATAATGGGGGATCCTTCCTGCGCCTTCTTGCAGAGATTTCCAACCTGTCAATTGTCAATGGGGGTTTACTTGATTGCAGAATCATTTTGCCCTTTTGCAATCAAACATGGCAACGGGAATTCTCCTATCCATATAATATCAATTGTAATTTAAGTGGAGAATCATCGAACAAAATCTAAACATGGGATAATCTAGCAAACCATCTTCATATACTATAGGGTAAGCGGAATGAAATGATGAAAGATTAATTGGATTATATCCAGCCCCATTGATTAGATTACTTTTATTTACTTTATTTTGTATTTACTCTATATATATATACTTATTTATGTATGATTTATGTATATGGAAAATATTATATTGTATTACAACAATAATGCGTGATTTACCATACTAAGTTGAAGGTTTTTCTGGATTTCCATCCATTTTTCACAGTCCATGAGGCCGAAGACACGCGTCGCAGTCATTTTGAGGCGCGAGTTCCTTGGGGAGTAGAACCCTAGACATAAATGTGGAAAAAACAATCGTTTTCCTAGGAAACTGATCTACAAATCATGGGCTTTTCACTGTGTGTTAGTTTGCAGGAGGGTAAGTTGTTACTATTTTAGTGCTAGTTTGCTTTTCTATATTTTTTGGGTTGCTATACCTACCAAAATAACATGCCTATCGAAATAGTGAGAAACTACAGTTCAATCTTTCCAGAGGCTTACGGTAGAAAGTAGATACTAGAGAAGAGAACTTGAAATTGAAACTCGGGATGGGCCAGATAGCTATACAGTAATACAAGCGATGATTTCTTGCCATCTGTGCGGTGTTTCAGAGAATCACAACTCGCAAAAAACCAACCCTTGAGAGTAATCAACCATGGCGATTCTCCGAAAAAAATCGAGCAACATATTTCTGAATGGAGTTTTAGATGGGGTTTTAAATGGGGAAACCCATGGGGAAACCCATTCAAAATCCAACAAAAAAAACTCACCACGATGATGGGCGCAAAGGGGGCCAGGCTCTTCAGCAAGAATGCCGCGAAGCACTGCAGGAAGGCGCGCCAAGGGATTTTCTGTGAAGTTGACATGAAGCGGAGTTTGCAGGAACGTTCAGCCCTTGGAAGTATTTTGATTGTATTTTGTATGTAACCTGCCATGACAAAATCAGAGGAGTATGTGAGTGTTGTAGGAACAGATGGATGGAAGTACTTCAATGAAGCCCCGCAGCCCATTGCGATCCGAAGCTACATGAGAAACACTTCTGCTTGATACTATATATGTGCTTACCTACATTGTCATTGACAAGCATGTTCATGTTATCCTACATCTTGGATTTAAGCATGTATATGTCAGTGATTGTCATCAGCATGTATTTTTACATTGACATTTGACATAATTTATTCTTATATTCATGTTCATGTTCATGTTCATACTCATTATACTCATCATATTTATGATATTAATTAAATTAATCATATTAGTCATATTAGTCATATTCATCGTGTTCATCATCATCATCATCATCATCATCATCATCATCATCGTCATCGTCATCGTCATTGTCATCGTCATCGTCATCGTCATCGTCATTATCATCATCGTCATCATCATCATCAACCAAACCCATCACATTTAATCTGGTCACACTACCACAAGGCTCGCAACTTGGGGTACCGGGTACAGCACCAGGACGGCTCGCGGGGAAGAAAGCAGAAGCCTGTGAAGAGGCGGTGATGGGCACGCCATGGAGCTGATGACCGGAGGGTACCTCGCTTGGATGTGCATCCTAGTCAACATGTGAAGAATTGTCATGTCATACCAGTTGGTTCCTCAACTGGATAATACTGGATTTACTGGATATATATATATATATTTAAGATGTATATTATATATATATTATATTTTATATATAATATGTAATATATATAATATATCCCCTTCTTGAGTTAGGCATGAACACGGTAATTGTTTTTTCCCAGGTGAATTATCAGCTGGGATGCAAGTAATCCAAGTAGTGACCGCTCCCAAATCAACAGAGAAGTTGAGAAGGCCACGGCAATTTGGCCTGAACAAATGTGGATGGCATTGAATGTTGATCCATAGCCAAATAGGTCATATACAAAAAATATATGGTTTATTAGGTTTATAAATGTGATATGTCTGTAAATAATTGTGTATATAATTATATATATATATTATCTACCCTCTGGTAATTGAACAGTTCGCTATTGAAAATGGCCCATAGAAATAGTTGATTTACTTAAATGGTGAGTTTCCATATGCCATAGTTATGTTAGTTTACCAGAGGGTACCATTTTTCCAGGACTGGAGGTAAAACCAGGAATTGGAGAGATCATTGATGATGACCAAAGTTTGCCGGATGTGCATGTACCATGGATATGTAGGTGCCCCAGCTGATTATGTCAAAATAGCTTTGGAAAAGGGCAAATTTATCATAGTAAATATGGAAAGTGGTACTTTGTGATATATGAAGTGATTTAATAAATTTATCATAGTACATGATTATTATATACCTATTGCCCCCCCCCAATTATAAGTTGGTTTATAAGCCCCAGTAACTAGTTCGTTATAATTACCATTTTTACCATAGTTGTTGGAGTTAGCAACCAACTTAGCTATCGAACGGGGGCCTCACATTGTACCTATTGAAAGTGGTACTTTATCATAGTTGTGACATTACCAGAGGGTACAACCCAGAGGGTTTTCCATGTATGAGTGGGGTGAGCATTTCACATCCAACTGCTGGCCGACCTAACCACCAATGGCGCGGCCAAGCTGCTCCAGGAATTGGCTGAAAAGACCAAAAGTGTGGCTGCGGAAGTCCCTTGGTGCAGAAATCGTTTTTTTTCGAAACGAACCATGTGAAGAAAACATAAGAAACCATTTCTTGGGGGGAAGATGTAGCTTATTTTTGTTGAGAATGCACCCTGTCATCAATGGGCGCAGCGTGATTTCTAGGAAATTCCAAGAGTTCATGTAAAAACACAGGAGCGGCGTGGCAACTTTTTTTCACAGCTCGGACTTGCTGGGTGTCAGGGCCTCACGCTTCGTAAAGGCATGATCGTGGATTGCGCCAAGCTGTCGACGAAATCCGATGAAGATTGGTGGCTCGATTTGTATGTGATTTTGAGCCGAGTCACTTCGCTGGCTGACTTGCTTCTGATCCGCCCGCCTCCGCGCGAGGTGCTGGAACGTCGGCCTCCTGAAGTCCCCAAACACTGAGAAAACGCAAGGGTCTTTTGCATCCATCACTTTGGGACTTGTGACAGTAGTTGTTTTCTTGGATGTGACAAGTGTATACCAGGCGTTCCTCACTTCAGCTTCTTTGGCAGCAGAGAAGCTGATGCGCTCCTACCCACGCATGGAGGCCCTACGGAAGAAAATTGAAGAAATGGTGCAAAAGTCGGAGCGTTGCGTTGTTCCAAGATAGGTTTACACATGTCTAAGTAGGTCCAAGGTGGTTCAGTACAGTGGTTGATGGTATCTACCAGTAGTACCGCACAAGACGGTGGCGGAAGTTTCAAAAATTGAAAACATATAGGAGAGATTGGTTGTTGTGAATCACGGAGCGAATCCACTGATGGACCGAAAGGTGGTTGAGGTCTCCTCTCTTTCTCTCTCTTTCTCTCTCTTTCTCTCTCTTTCTCTCTTGTTCTCTCTCTTTCTCTCTCTCTTTCTCTCTCTCTTTCTCT